GATCCTGGCAGGACTGTAAGACCTTCACTATTCCCATTCTTCTGATGCCTGTTCTCAGGGGCCCAAGGCTCTGGTGTTGCACAAGATGTCTCCAGTGCTGTGTTCAATCAACCCCACACACTCCCAAAAACTTGCACTGAGATACAACACAGGGCTGTGAGATTTCTAAGACATGTCTGAGGTTGTGTTCTGTGCTATATAGCTGATCTATGTTTTATTCCTTGAGTCCTGACTAGATGTTTGTGATGACTTAGGGGTTACAAGTGCCAAGGAAGAGGTTCCTGCTTTATAATGAGCCCTTAAGCTAAGCCAGAAGAGAAGAGGTGACATTCAGATTACACAAGCCTTGAGCCCATCCCTAGGTCTTCTCTTGCTTACACTGTTACCCAGGCCAATCCCTTCAACTCTAAGTCTTGGTTCCCATTAGGAAAACTGGTTACAGCAACAGCACTTCTTCCTGTAGTGAAGAGGAGCAGAGGATGTGGCACTGCCATCTGAGGGGCCAGGGCATCTCCCATGCACAGTCACAAAGGCAGCAAAAGGACACAGTGCAGGCCAGGTGGGGGGACTAGGAGGTGGTAAGGGAATCACGTGGCCATCCCAGATAGAAGTATCTTTTTATTTCAACCAGGAGACCAGAGGGATGGCTGTCCTCTGCCAGCCTGATGGCACATTGGTAAGGGAATGTGCAATCCAAGAAAACCAAAGCAATGGGACACGAGTGGACAATCTAGCACTGACCTCCACCAACACTGACTTCGCCTTCAGCCTCGACAAGGAGCTGATTATGAAGAGTTCAGATAAAAGCATTGTCTTCTCCCCACTCAGCATCTCAGCTGCCTTGGCCGTCCTGTCCCTGGGAGCAAGCAACAACACCTTGCAAGAGATTCTAGAAGGTCTCAAGTTCAATCTCACAGAGACCCCTGAGGCAGACATCCACAGGGGCTTTGGACAGCTCCTCCACATGCTCAGCCAGCCAGGGGACCAGGTGCAGATCAGCACAGGCAGTGCCATGTGTGTTGAAAAGAACCTGCAGATCCTGGCAGAGTTCAAGGAGAAAGCAAGGGCACTCTACCAGGCTGAGGCCTCAAGTGTCGACTTCCTGGAGCCTCATGAGGTCAAGAAGCTCATCAATGACTATGTGAGGAAACAGACCCAGGGGAAGATCAAGGACCTGATTTCAGGTCTGGATGTGGATACAGTAATGGTGTTGGTGAACTACATCTACTTTAAAGGTGAGAATGGGCACTGATTCATGGGTGGATGGAGAGGTTGTTGCCTGGGCACCTTGTGTCCAAACCCTGATACCTGGAAAGGAGGGACTCGGCCTTGGAGACGGGAGTGCCTAACTTTTTATTATTAAATGGCCTTACTTCTCCTTTGAGATCTTTTGGATATAGATGTGGTTCCTGGTACATACTCCACAGAACCCCTTAACTCCCAGTCTAAGATGGCTGAATTTGTCTGTGACATAAACTAACTGACTATCAGAATGCATGGGTCACATGTGCAGTCCTACCTGAGTATGAGGAAGTCATGCTTCCCCTGCAGTTCAGAGCCTTGGTCAGTGTTCTACTGCTGTAAGGAGACACCATGACCATGGCAACTCTTCTAAAGGAAAGCATTTCACTGGGGATACTCACTACAGTTTCGAGGTTCAGTCCATTATCACCATGGTGGACATGGCAGTGTGCAGGCACTGGAGGAGTGTGAGAGTCCTAATCTTGCAGGCTAGAGGAATTAGTCTGAGACTCTCAACAGTGTCTTAAGAATATATGAGACCTCAAAGCCTGCCTCCACAGTGACACACTTTCTCTAACAAGAACACAGCTATGTCAGGGCCAGTGGACCTGCCGAACATTACCAGAATAGGGGAGTGTGGATTAAAATAGGAAGAGACAAAAGACAGAAGATAAAGTCGGGAGGCCTCCCAGTGAATACTGCAGCAGCCCCAGATTTATTTATCATAGTCCTTTTATACCCAAACAAAAAGGGAGGGCAAAAGACTTCCTTACCATGTTTCATGCAACAAGCAAGTGTAATCGCCTTCTTAATTCTCAAAGCATCTAATAACCAAGCCTTTGGACAAATGTCCTGTTATTTGACCTTGAGAAGTAATAACAAGTTGAACTCTTTGGCCTTAAGTCAAGATGGAATGCAGTCCCTGTGGGTTCCCACACACCTCCTCTAACAAAGCCACACCTCATAATAATACCACTCCCTATGAGCGTTTGGGGGCCAATTGCATTAAAAAAAAACCAACAAACAAAATCTGTTATCCAACTCACTAACCTTTCTAAGATGCTCCAATAGAATTCGTCTGCCAGATAACCTCAAAGAAGACCCATGGGTACTTGGAATTTCTCGACCTAAGGAGCGTGGTTACCCTAATCTTGAGGAGGAAGTAGCAAAGTTGACAATATTGAAGTGTCCTGTGGGCATATCCTGGGCCTCTCTCCTGAGCCTTTTCTGTAAGGCTGGACCTGGACGTGAAAAAGCAAGGACTGAGGAGAAGCCATTAGTGAGAGGGAAGTGTCAGCTCGGCAGTGGTCTGTGTTTCGTGTCTGAGTACGTCGTGGAATTTTAATTTGTAAAATTCGTATCCCAGGCAGCCTGTGAGGTCACAGTGCTGAAGACAGTGATTCTGGGGTTGAGGGACAAGAGATTGGCAGACTGGGCTGGAATTACTGTGGGGAAGGGTTAGTGGGGAGACTACCAGAAGACATGCCCACAAATCCCTGCCTGATAGACCAAGGAGTGAGGCAACGGCCCCACAGAATGAGGTCTGATGAAAATACTGATATGACCAGACCTTGGTGGATTGGGAACATGAACTCTATATGGTTCAGGACATAGGAGGCGAGGATCTGAGGCCAAACACAGAAAACCACTGGCCAAGGACAGAGGAAGGTAGGAGGACGGAGGACAGGATGGAAAGATGGTCCCATAGCTGAGGTGCTCTGCACAGAGGGGAAGCAGAGGGATGGCATGAAGGGTGAGAATGCAGGGTGTGGCTCCCTCTGCTGGCCATGGAACCAAGTTGCAAAGCAGCATGCTTGTGAGTGGAGATGTATTTTTATCTGCTGGATCCTGACCCAAAGAAACTGTCCAAGTACCAAGTCCCTAGGGATGTATTGCAGACGGGCACATGCACTTGGGAGGTGGGACAAGTCTGAGCAGGAGAATTTTGATTCATAGAGGAGAACATAGATCAAGGGGGAGAAGAGGACTCATTACCCATGTGTTCATCAACTAACTGTGGGCACCTGATAATCCAGCTGTGGGAGTTGCAGATGTCACAGGCTTCCATCTAAACCCACCCATGGTTCTGGGCACTGAATTTTATTAAGGTGGTTCACACGAATGTCACCATCGTCAGACCATGGTGTAAGAGAACACAATCTCCTTTGTCCGGTTTCCCCTAAAATCTGTCCACAAGGGCCTGCCTTCTAGACATGGTTCCTCCTGAGGAAGAAGGGGTCCCCAACTCTCAAAGGCCCCTGTCTCAGCACCTTCACTCTAAATCTGTGGTACACACCCCAGTCTCAGATCCCTGAACGTTTCTCAGCTGCTTCAAGTAGGGAAGCTTTAGTTATGAGTTCCCTTTTTAAGCCTGCGGATAACTTCTCACTCACAGTTCTGCGTCTGCTGATGTTTTTTCTAACCTAGATTACATAACCAGAAGGGAACTCAGTGTTCTGGCAGATGCATTGTGGAAGACTGTCAAGACTGAGGAATGGGACAGAAATGGGGTGGGGGTGGAGTCTCTCTGCTGATGTTACAATTGTTAGCCTGCTCCACATTTAGGGAAAGGGAGGAAACCCTTTGACCCTGACTTCACATTTGAGTCGGACTTCTACTTGGACAACAAGAGGACTGTGAAGGTGCCCATGATGAAACTTAAGTTTCTAACGACACCCTACTTCCGGGATGAAAAGCTGTCCTGCACTATGGTGGAGCTGAAGTACACAGGCAATGCCAGCGCCCTGTTCATCCTCACTGACCAGGGCAGGATGCAGCAGGTGGAAGCCAGCCTGCAGCCAGAGACCCTGAGGAAGTGGAGGGACTCTCTGAGGACCAGGAGTGTGTCCTCTGGAACCAGAGCTCGTCTGGTTCCCCATTCTGTTGTTGGTGAGGCCCAGCGTCCCTGGACCTCAGAGTCTAACTGAACTCAGTGTAATGAGTGCAGAGTCAGCAGGGACAAGTGGACCTGAGGTGAATTTTCCTCTGCTGACTCTGTAGTGTGGGGACTGCGTTTGCTGTCATTTTTGTTGTTCACAAGATGACATCAGCTAGAGCAGGAGCTGAAAATTCCTCTGTGTCTCCCAGGCTGTAATTACACAGAATCTTGCATGAATACTGGAAGGCAGAGGGGAGTGAGGGTGAAAGGAGATCAGCTCTGAAAATCAGCTCTGCCCTGTGCAGCCATGGCACCCCCTCATCACTCATTCATTCGCCATTAGTACAAGGATGACTTGAAGACCTACTATGTACTGTGTTCCGATCTAAACCCAGAGAGTATATAAGAGACTAAAACACAAGATTTCTTACCTGCAAACTCACTTTGTAATTGAAGAAGAGGGAGTAGGGAGATGGAAATGCAACTGATCATTGTTTGATTTGTTAAAAGGTGAGATGCGGTGAGATTCAGTAGGGGAGGATCCAGGGATGCAGAAAGTTAGAGTCAGATGGGTGTGCAATCTTAAATAGGAGGATGGTTAAATGGAATATGAGGGTCCACACGTCATGGCAAGGACTGCACTTTGTGACCTGGGAGTAAAGCATTTTTGGTAAAGAAAAAGTTGATACAAAGCCTCATTACCTCTCCAGCAGGATGAAAATTAATGCAATAAGAAAACAAAGTCATGGGATGTAGACACAAATAGAAAGAGGGCTTCTCTTTGGTAAGAGGGCCGTCTGCGGAGAGCTACCCAAGGTACAAAGAGGTTTGAGGGGAACAGACACTTCAGTGACTCTTTCATTTCTCCTTTCGCTTTGCAGAAAGATTGACGAGCTCTCTCTGCCCATGCTCTCCGTCTCCACTGACTACAGCCTGCAGGACATCTTTCCACAGCTGGGCATCAGGGAAGTCTTCTCCACACAGGCTGACCTGTCTGGGATCACAGGATCCAAGGATCTGAGAGTCTCTCAGGTAAGATAAGATACTAGGTGATTGTTATGGGTGCCTGAATGAGGATGGTGAGGCCAGGCGTGTGAGAGATGACAAACGTGAGAGAAAGCCTGCATCTCTGAGATTCCCTCATCCCGGATTACAATTTAGATACTCCCGGGAAATCCATGCAGCCAGTCCCTTCTATATGCACTGAAGAAAATCTCACCCAGGAACCCAGGGCAGGGAAGAGCCTTTGCTTGCTCATATTAACCTGTGCCGTAGTATGGACGACACCCACAATCCTCTGCAGGGTGAACTACTTCTTCACCTCAGGGCTACCCAGAACTCCCTGATTAGCACACAGAATGACAGGAGTAAAGGAAATGACAAAAAATATACAGCATTTGTGATTAATAGCATAAGGATAGGAGAGGAGGTGCCCTGGGACGACACACTACCTCCCCAGATGCACAGCCTGCCAATGCCTAGTGTTCCATCGGTGCCCATTCAGAACCATAGGCTCATACCTGTAGCAGCAGGCCATGGCACTCTGGGAAGGAGAAGCTGTGCCATGTACGTTGCAATTTTATGCCACAAGAAGCGTGATGCAGGAAGGATGCTGGAGCCTGTGCTGGCTGCTAACACCCTGGCTGCTCCCTGTGAGTCTCCTGAGGAAGTGAAGTAAGGACTGGTGTTGCCTCCACCCATCCTCAGTGTGTAGTGGGTTTGAGAGCAGCAGAGATTCTCAGACACTAAGCAGACCCAGAGCGTGCCTCATCTCACACCCTGAGCAGAGATTGGTTGACACCAGGGGTAGAGCTCATGATAGGAACAAGTTCACGAGCAGCTGAGGACAGCAGTGGATGCTCCAAGAATCTCCTCTCCTGCCCTCCCTGGTTTCCAGTGAGTGATGTCTTTCTCCTACAGGTGGTCCACAAGGCTGTGCTGGACGTGGCTGAGACAGGCACAGAAGCAGCGGCTGCCACGGGAGTCCAGATTGTGGGACTGTCTCTAATTATGAATCCTTTGAATGTGAATTTCAACAGGCCATTCTTGATGATTATCTCAGACACAGATACTCATACTTCACTCTTTACGGCCAAAATCACAAATCCCAAGGGAAACTAGAACTTCCCAAGTGGTGAGGCTTCCTCCTGGGAGCCGGGATTAACTCTGTATTTGGGTCTCTATGTGTATGTTGGCTCTCACATGCTCTGGTTGGCTGTGGTGTGCCAGGATTGGACAGGACAGTGACTCACTGTATGACTCGAACATGCACAGGGTCCTGTGGACAGTCAGTGTCAGGTTTCCTTCCTCATGCATAGCTAGCTCATGTTCCTGAGCCTGAACTCTGTCTTTGTGGCCCCTCCCTGTTGCTGCTCCTGAATCGACCTCTACCCAAAGCATGGAGCCTGGCAGGGAGTCACAGTCCCTTTCTAGGCTGTGGTTATGTAACAGGCTTGATGGAAATATGCAAGCATGTAGGACATCTATGGGGACTTCAGCCCCAGGACTGAGCAGGGAAACTGCTGGCTGAGTCTATTTCCAGAATCTGGGATGACCTAGCACCGAGTTTCACGCTTCCAGGCTATGTCATCCACTGTACTGTCAGGGGCTCCTGGCCCTGCCCACATCTGGCACTGGGTTACAGCATCTATTCCTGCAGCTGCATGGGGTCAGTTGATCAGCTCAGCTCCTTAGCCCTAGTGCACCAACTTAGGGCAGAAGAGCCATTCTCTAGGTTCTTCACTGACTAACCTCACACTATAGATGGACACCACCTCCTTCTTTACCCAAATTTCAGTTCTTGGAGCAAATGATCACTAAATATATATCTCCACAGAATATGATCAGGCAGTGTTCACTCAGCTCCTGTTGGCAGGGGTGTGACCTCCAGTGACAATAAGGTAGAAGAGATTGTCACTCACATTGTGTGACTTGTGTGATGAACCTCTGACCTACATGGTAATATCTGTCTCTTTTATGGATGAGAAAACTGAGGCACAGAGAAACTTAGTCATTTTCCCATAACATCACAGCTCGAATTTAAGACTGACAGGATGTTCTCCCAAGAGTCCTGATGCCAGAGGAACAGTCTTCCCCAAGCTGATATTCTTAGCCCAGGCAGCACCATGGTGGTGAGCAGGTGGAACATGAAACAAGGCTATGGATGCTTCCCAGAGAGCTCTCAACGATCATGTGACCTCTGTGCTGAGGTCAGAGGAGGATGAGAAGGTGGTCAGATGACCAGAAAAATGCTCTTGGTAGGGGACATGGCAATGGAGGTATTCTAAGAATAATCGGGTATTTAGGAAAGAAAAAATAATCACCAGATGGCAAAGAGCCTGACCCTAGGAGAATCCTGAAAGGACTCAGAATGATAGGGAGCTCTGGAGGGGTGAATCACGGTTCCTGTCCTGGGATCCTCAAACCGCTCTGCGCAAATGTGGGGACCGACACTAAAGGCAGCTGCAGGGAACAGGAGGTCACATCTGGAGAGTGAGTGATTTCACTCAAGTATCAGCTGGTTTTGTGCCTAGATAGAAGACAAGAGGAAATCAAGTTTCGTTTGAGTGTCTACAGGGACTCCATCAGGCCTGAAACACTGCTAGAGGCCTGCACAGAGAGGAAAATTTGTATGTCAATTTGAGACATACTTGAGTCTCAAGGCTCCAGAGACACATACTGAAGAGGTGGACATGTGGTTGCAGACAATTACAGCCTGGGGGAAGGGTCTCACACAAGATTTCTTTCCCCATTGAGCACTGAGACACCACTTATGGGGGCCATTGAGCGAGAAAGAGTAGACCCATGTACTGGAAGCAGCTGTGTCCCAACAACTTCACTATATCCAATCAAGTCCCTGAGGTCACCACCTCATGAGCTCCATGAACACTGGCATGCCACAGCTGCGTCCCTCCATCCACCCTAGTTCAGACCAGAAATCTAAGGCGACTGGTGCTGAAGACATCTCATGCTGCCGTCATCTGGGTCTGAACACTAAGTGTCATTATTAGGATTTGCTACGGACCGGCTCAGGGGAGCCACTCAGACTGTAAGGGAATCAGGGCGAAGGCACAGGAGAAATCAGGATACGGTGAGGAAAGTGACACACAGACACTCTCAATGTTGAGACATGCTGTTGCGATTTACTTACTTCAGTGCAGGATTATATATTATTACAAACAAAGAACTTGGCAAAGGCATACATCATCAGATCATAAAATAGAAAAGAACGGCATAAAACCGTTTTACAAAGAGAATCTTTAAAGATGCTTTGGCATGAGTACAAGGACTTTTGCTTCCTTACATTTGTAAAGTTACCCCTTCTTTTTTCTTGTTATTAGAGAGACCATTGTTCTTGAGTTAGCCCATTTTATCAGCTTGTACCGGGTGGCTGACTTGGGCTCAGCTAAGTGACCTTGTGTGTCTGGGTGAGAAAGAAGAAAAAGGCTACTATCTTCCTGGAAAAACTTTCTGAGACTCATTTTGTACCATTAATCTCAACTCCTTTCCCTTCCCGACTCTCAGGGTCAGATGTTGTAATTAGCCTAGGTTTTCTGGCCATAAGGAAGGTTGCATAGGCCTCCTGTTAAGTTGCACATAAATGCCTAATGCTGTTTTCCTGTAGAAGGCTTCTAAGGTTTTTTTCTGCTAAGATTAACTCCTTTTATTCCACATCATCAAGGAATTGTCCTGATGATGATTTTGGCAATTCCCAGAACTGGCTACTTTTTTAAGGCTTTAAAAAAATTAATAGTGGAGCAGAATTCAAAAATGTCCGCAGCAGTCTTGTTTATATTGACAACTGCCTGGAATAGTCTGATCTGTTAGCAATATGTAAAGATAACAAAGAACACACAGACAAGGGAAAAGACACACAGATGGCTCCAAGGACAGCCAGGTCGAGTCAGTACTAATGACGACTCAGGTAGCATTACACCACAACTGGTTGCCAAGGGACCGCCTGGAACACACAGCTCCTAGAAGCACAAATCCCAATCCTACCGGCAATATTTGCCCATCCAGTCAGCATTTCTGCTACACTGGCGAGACAGCCGTGGATGTAGCAAGGATTCACTATAGGAACGAATGTTATAGGACAAATCTCTACCGAAAGGGAATTTATTGGAAAGATTTAAAAGCCCTGGTCCAATTAGTCCAAAATAGCTGGGATGGTGTTTCTATAACAAAGCAAACCGAGGAAGGTAGGAAAAGTAAGTCAGAAAGCAGCAACACTAAAAGGCCTCTGCATTAGCTCCTGGACTTGGAATCTTTTGCTATTTCAGTTCCTGTCTTAACTTCCTTCCATGATGGACAGCAATGTGGAAGTAAAAGCCAAGTAAACCATTTTCTCCAGAAATTGCTTTTTGGTCCTTGTGTTTCATGCCAACCACAGAAAACATGAAGTAAGACAAGATGGTACCAGTGTAGAGGGTATTGCTGTGACAGACCTACTATGCTTTAGGAAGGATTGTGGAAGGATTTTGGAACTTTGTGCTAGAAAATCACCTGAGTGTTGGGAGTTGAGTGGGATGCTCTGTGGGAGCTTGGAAGATAGGAATCTTGAAAGCAGTGCTGATGATGTAGGCCTGGCTTGTGCTGCTTCAGAGAGGAGTTTAAAGACACCATCAGGATTCACACAGAGACCAGTCCAGGTTTTGATTAGCCTTGGGGGAAGCCATGGCTTTTATAATATGTTGAATATGGCATCAGGCACAGAGAGAGAGACAGGAATGGAGGGGAACAAAGGCATGAACATAAGGTTTCTCAAAGGACTTGCTTGTGAAATGGCAGAATTTGTAAAGTTCAATACAAATTTGATAATAAATTTGTCATCTAATGGCCATTGAGAGCATCTGTCAATTTTATAGTGCTGCTAACTCATATTGCAATAAAAAACAAGGTGGTGGGGCTTAACCAGATCTGTAAGTGTGCAATGGGAAAGAGGTTTAAGGATGGAAGCAAGATGAATATAGTTTGGGTCAAGTTGGCATGAAGGTAGCCAGCACAGAGGAAGAGAGAAACAGCTGGAAAGGCCAACTCTAAAATTTGAAGTTGAATATTTTGGGGGAAGAGCCAGCAGAAGGAATTGATCTGAACTGAGGGGTGTCCAAATCAACATTTCAGGTCAGTTAAGGTGAATTAGGTCCCCTTGGATGAGGCCCAGCTTATTCTCCTTGGCTTCTGCATCAAATGTAAGAGAGGAAGGGATAAACTCATCAAAGCAGACAACTCCATGGGAAAAAGAAAGATTTAGTGAAGATGAACCTGCCAAAGCTATGTCTCTCTAGGGATCAGGGACAGAGAGAAGCAGAAGAGCAGAAAAGGAAACAGATTTTAAGTGAGAGCGGATAGGGCAGTTTGAGCTTATTCACCGTGACTGGATTGAAGGGGGGCTGGGTGGTTTTGCTGAGGTGGCTGACATTTGTGGGAAGCTTAGGGTGGCTCCTGGTGAACAGAAATGCATCATGGGTGGTCAGGTTCTCTGATACACAAAACCCTGCCTTGAGGCTTCTGTTGACTCAACCAATATCCTTCCTGTTAGGACCAGCACCACCATTCTGGGGACAGCAGCTTTGGACCTAACTCCTGTGTACTGAGTCTCTAATTCCACTATTGCTGCAAAAAAAAATACAGCTCTCTTCCTAAAGGAACTAACATATACTTTCTTCTAGAGCCATTTAGAGTGAAAAATGATCTGAGAATACAGATTTTGGTTACCCAATTTCCATTCTCCAGTGTTGAAGTAATTTTAAAAACACTTTATAGCTTAACCACACAAAGACAACTTTGAGATGTAGGGGTGGGAACCTCAGAGAGACAGGTGCATCAAGGTGGGGGAGCTTCTCTATGGAATGAAGTTCCTATGTGCTAGCATTCTTAGCTTTTGGATTGAAGTTCTTTGTCTGTAAGTAATAGAAGTCTATTGTCACGGAGTTGACTTTGGACACAGAGGGAGGCAAACTTGTCTGTTCCAGAGAGGCAGTACTTACCCAGGAGAAGGTAATTAGTTTCTGGCCCTGAAATGTTTCCATCTCTCTCCAGTACCGGAATTCAGATCAGTCATTCAGGCTCTGCAGATACAGAATCCTTTCAGGGATTTCCATTCAGTGCCAGACAAGGCAGCATCCCTTCGGAAGTCTGATGCCAAAGAGGGAAGAGTGAACATCTATTTAAGTTATGCCCATTCAGGATGGTTGCACAGATGGAGGTGGAGTCCTGTTAGCATTGAGATCTCTGTTTATTAATGTATGAGTTTTCATTAAGAAATTATGGAGCATGGAAATAGATTCCTATTCTTTTTGAAGTTACTTAAGAAGTCTGCAATAAAAGTTAGCTGCAGCCCTATCTGGTGAAAAGTAGGTTTTGTGCCCTGCCTTGTTAACTCTGACTTTTCCCCAGTTCCACACAGACTATCAAACAATGCGAGATATAGAAAGTTGAAAGCACCACACTCGGCTTGTAGTCAGGAAGTGGTTCTGCTAGGAAGAGCTTCTCAATGCGCAATACCAGAAATCATCCCATCAGTCCATTCCAGACTGAGCACAGACCACAACTTGTCTGGGCCAGCACTTCCTAAGAAGAAGGAGGAGTCACTGGTGGGGATAAATACATGTCACACTGCAGTGGGAAGAACAACACAGCAGGCAGGCAGCAACCAGATCATCAGGACCAAGCTGTTGCAAACTCGGGTAGCTGCCTTCAGCTCTGCAGGTAATTCCCATAATTTCTCTCTGAGGACAGAGGAGAAGCCTTTGCAGGGCTGTGTGGTACTGGAAATGACCTGGATCTTGGGTTGGATGGGCGAAGAGTTGATCCTGTGACAATGGACTAGGATCAGGGAACATTTCTGGGGAGCACAAAAATCTTTTTCTTCAGTCTGGATCTTCCTGTCCATGGAAGATGGAGGAGGAACCATAGGCTCTGTTCCTAGAGAGGGAATGGGACCTGATCCTTCCCACCCTCCACGGGGAGGAAGTTTTGAGACCTTGACTAGCCCGGGTGCTGCTCTAGGAAGCAGAGGGAGACAGGAAATTCACATAATCCCTATGGGGGAGGTGGAATCACTGACATGCTTATAGCAGACAGTAAAAGTCTTGGGATCAGAAATCTCACTTTCTGAGCAGATCCCATGGCCAAGAAAAAGGGACCCAGCATCTCCTAATAAGGAAAAGACTACAGCTCAGCCACTGAGCCAAGTCTATAACACAGAGACTAACCTGTTTGCTGCGGAAATAATTTTGATAAAAATATTACTGAAGGCTTTTCCTGTGATATGGATGCATTCATCTGACAGTAAACACAGGACACAGGGTAGAGGGAGTTAAAGTCCCTGGCCCCCCTGTAGTCATGTGACCGGCCTGGGGACATGTGCCTCAGCTCCAACACCTTCCTCCCCTGCTCCCTCTGTTTTCCTCCTGTGTTCTTCTACTCTTCCCTTCCCCCATCTTCACCTGTCCCCTCAGTGATCCCCATTCCTGCCCTCCTATCCTCCTGCATCCTCTCCTTTCCACTCTTTTGATCCTTCCTCTTTTCCCCCTGTGTCCTTTCTCCTCTGTTCTTCTCCTCCCCTCTCCATTCCCCTACCACCTACTGTCTCCTCTGATGTCCTCAGCAACCTAGATGGGTGTTAAAGGTGTGAACAGTGATTGCCATAATCATAAAGCTTCAACTGTAGTTTTTTGTTTTTGTTATTGTTTTTTGAGACAGGGTTTCTCTGTGGTTTTAGAGACTGTCCTGGAACTACCTCTTGTAGACCAGGCTGCCCTTGATTTCACAGAGATCCGCCTGCCTCTACCTCCTTACGTCTGGGATTAAAGGCCTGCGCCAGCATTGCCTGGCTTCAACTGTAGATTTTATGATGCTTGTGTCCCCACTACGGTGGTGTATGGAGGAGATGGTAATCTGGACATTCCCTAGAAACACACATAATGACCATAAAAAGTCCAAACTTTTACTAATATTCGAACCTGGGTCACTCAACAAGTTGCCCAGAAAGATCCACCAATTTCTTGCCACCATACCCCACCCTGAGATTCAAAATGAAATCTGGTCCAGGTAGCAGAGACTCATTCAAACATCATCCAAGTTTCATCCCATCAGGAGTCCTTCCAAGGTGAGATACAAACCACCATGTGGAATACTGGCAGGGCTGAAGATCCTCTCCATCTCCATCCTTCTGACACCTGTTCTCAGAGGGCCAAGTCCAGTGTTGTCCTCTATTACCCTTCACACTCCCAGATGCTTGCACTAAGTTAAACCCAGGGCTGTGAGATTTCTTATACATATGCGTTGGTGCTTGCGGTGCACTCTGCCTGAGATTTCTTTTTGAGTCCTGAGTAGAGGTTGGTGATGTTGTTGAGGACACAAGTGGAAAGAAAGAGGTCCCCTGCTTTCTAATGAGCCAAGCCAGAAGTGAAGAGGTGACATTCAGAGTACACAAGCCTTGAACCCAGCCCTAGGTCTTCTCTTGCTTACACTGCGACCCTGGCCAATCCCTTCAACTCTGGGTCTTGGTTCTCCATTAGGAAAACTGCTCACAGCAACAACACTTCTTCCTGTAGTGAAGAGGAGCAGAGGATGTGACACTGCCATCTGAGGGGTCAGGGCACCTCCCATGCACAGACGCAAAGGCAGCAAAGGGACACAGTGCAGGCCAGGGGGGAGGACTAGGAGGTGGTCAGGCCATCCCAGATAAAAGGATCTTCTCATTTCAACCAGGATACCAGAGTGATGGCTGAGATCTCCCCTGATGTCCTCTCCAGACCAGATGGCACCATGGGAAGGAATACTGCAGGCCAGGAAAACCAAAACAGCAGAACACCAGTGGACAATCTAGCATTGACATCCAGCAACAATGACTTCGCCTTCAGCCTCTACAAGGAGTTGGTCTTAAAGAATCCAGACAAAAACATCGTCTTCTCCCCATTCAGCATCTCAACTGCCTTGGCCGTCCTATCCCTGGGAGCTAGAAGCAAAACCCTGGAAGAGATTCTAGAAGGTCTCAAGTTTAATTTCAGCAAGGCCTCTGAGGCAGACATCCATCAGAGCTTTGGGCACCTCCTCCACATGCTCAACCAGCCAGGGGACCAGGTGCAGATCAGCACAGGCAGCGCCATGTTTGTTGAAAAATGCCTGCAGATCCTGACAGAGTTTAAAGAGAAGGCCAGGGCATTCTACCATGCCAAGGCCTCCACGACTGACTTCCTGCAGCCTCATAAAGCCAAAAAGCTCATCAATGACTACGTGAGGAAACAGACCCAGGGAAAGATCAAGGACCTGATCTCAGACCTGGATAAGGAAACATTAATGGTGCTGGTGAACTACATCTACTTCAAAGGTGAGGATGGACACTGGGTGGGGAGTGGAGGGTAAAGATATTGACTGAGGAACTTTTGATCATTATGCTGACCCCTGGAAAGGAGGGGCTCACACCCTGGAGATATGAGTGATTCACATCTCTCTACCCACAGCCCCTACTTCTCCCCTAGAATTTCTGGATATAGTTGTGGTTCCTGGCACATGCTCATCAGAAGTCCTGAGATCTCAGTCTAAGAGTGCTGAATTTGACTGTGACTTAAACTTACTGACTGCAGAATGCATAGCTTCGGTGTCCAGTTCTTCCTGAGCATGCAGAAGCTGTGATTTCTCCCTGCAGAGACCTGGTCCCTCATTCTGGCCACTTCAGCATCTCTAATACGCTCCTGTAGAAGGTGTCCATCCCTGCTGGAGAGACTGTTTCTAGGACTGTCCCTGTGTGCTGGGGACTCTGTAACCTAAGGAGTGTGCCTGACCACTCTTAAGAGGGAAAGTAGCATGGCCCATTAACCCTGAAGAGCCCCGAGGGCAATTCCCATGCAGGACCTCTCCCTTGAGCCATTTAGGGAATGAGCTGGACCTGGGCTGGAAAAGCAGGGATGCAGGAGACTAACAAGAGGGCAGTGTAGGCAGGCCAAGTTTAGTGTATGGCTCCTTTGGGTAATTATGCTTCTGAAACAAACTAGTCCAACAGCCTGAAGGTCACAATGCCCAAGACACACGTCAGGGCCAGCGAGTCTGAAGATAACAGGTGCAGGGGGGTTGGGAGACGCAGCGGGTGATATAATGGCTAAGGACAGTGAGGGGACATCCAGAGTCTACACCCACAACACCCTGCCTGATAGAGTCCAGGGATCAAGGTGACAGCACAGGACTGGTGCCTGACAGAAGTCGTGATGTAATCAGAATGGAGTTGATCTGGGTTAGATTACGGATAGTCCAGGGCAGGCTGTGAGTTGTGGGCAGAAAATCAAGGTGGCCATGGACAGAAACAGGGACTAGGAGGACAGAGGACATGAAGACAAGATGGCTGCAGAACTGGGTGAACTGGGAATGGTGGGAGCAGAGTGAGAGCCTGAAGGGCGGCTGGGTTGTCTCTCTACGCCCAGGGCCCAAGAACCAAGACTGCCTGTCTGTGAGGTGGGGATGCTTGTCTAGGCTGCTAGATCCCAGTCTAAGAGACTGTTTCAGTACCAAGTCCTGCAGGCTGTGCTGGAAATAAGGAATTAAACTAGGAATTCGAGATAAGTCGGGACAGGATATCTGTGGAGGTGGCCATAGCTCCTCTGTGAGCTGAGGACATGTTACTCACGTTTAGCCCACAATCTGTGGACTTATGGATGCCCATGGTATGGGAGAATTCAGGCTCCTTTGTCTTGTTTATTCTAAAGACTGTCCCAAATACCATTGCCTTCTAGACATGATTCCCCCTGAGGAAGAAGGGTCCCCAACTCTCCCCACTATCCAATGTCACCACTTTCATCTCAGGTCTCTGTTACTCTCCCCATGCCCAGACCCTAACAGTTGCTAGAAACTCAAGTAACCAAGCATTGATTTTAAATTTCCCCTTTTCCAAACCAAGCCTGCAGTCTCTTCTCACCTTTAGGAGTTTGTCCACTTCCAATCCAGCTTTACCACCCCTGAGGGACACTCTGTGTTGTGAAAGATAGATTGATTGCTGTCACACGTAGAAGCTGAGCAGAAATTGGATATGGTGAGTCTCTCAGGTGAAGTTATTCTTAATCCCTTTCATCCTTAGGAAAATGGAAGTTTCCCTTTGACCCTCGTGACACATACAAATCTGAGTTTCACTTGGATAAGGACAGGTCTGTGAAGGTGCCCATTATGAACATTGAGGACCTGAGCACCCCCTACTTCCGGGATGAGGAGCTGGCCTGCACTGTGGTGGAGCTGAAGTACACAGGCAATGCCAGCGCCCTGTTCATCCTCCCTGACGAGGGCAGGATGCAGCAGGTGGAAGCCAGCCTGCAGCCAGAGACCCTGAGGAAGTGGAGGGAATCTCTGAGTACCAGGTACGTGTCTGCAGGACCCAGAGCTGGTCTGGCTCCATATGCTGCTGTCGGCCTGAGGCCCAGTGTCCCTGTACCTCACAGTCTCACTGGTACCCAATGTAATGGGTAGAGAATCAGCAGGGACAGTTGGAGCTGAGGTGGATTTTTCTTCTCTGACTCAGTAGTTTGGGACCTGATTTTTTTTCTGTCATTTTTGTTGTTCACAAGATGACTTCAGCTAGAGCAGGAGCTGAGGATTCCTCTGTGTCTTCCAGGCTGTAATTACAGAAAATCATGAATGGGCTATTGATGTCAGAGGGGGTGAGATTTAGGAAAGATCAGCTCTGAGAATCAACTTTGCCCTGTGTAGCTGTGTAGCTGATCTCTCATTCATCACCGTAGTGTACTGATGACTTGAAGACCTACTATGAACTGTCTTCTGATTTAGATTCATGGAGTATATCAAAGACTAAAGCATGAACTCTCTTAACCTTGTGGGTTCATCCTGCAATTGCGGATCAGAGTGGGGAGACAGAAATGCAACCAATCATTATTTGATTTGTTAAAAGGTGAGAAGGGGAGAGATTCAGAAGGGGAGGGTCCAAGATTAAGGAAAGCTAGAGTCCAAGACGGTGGAGAATTTGAAATATGTGGGTGATTAAATGAAGTCTGAGGGTCCACAGGGCAGGGGAAGGATTGCATTTTGTGGGTCTTGGAGGAAAGCATTCTCAGGAGAGGAAGCTGTTACCAAGCCATGTTGCCTGCCCCTGTAAACACTCTCAGGCTCTGAGGGATAATTAACACATTCCAAAGAGCAATTCAGGTGGTCTAGCATGGATGGAAAGAAGGCTGCTCCCCAGTGAGAGGGCTGCCTCTGGTTCCCTAGCTACAAGGTATGTTGATAGGGCAGTGGAGTCCAGTGACTCTTACAGTATTTCTTTCCATTCTCAGGAAAATCAGTGAGTTCTACATGCCCAAGTTCTCCATCTCCATGGACTACAGCTTGGAGAAAATCCTTCCACAGTTGGGTATCAGGGAAGTCTTCTCCACACAGGCTAACCTGTCTGGGGTCACAGGGGCCAAGGACCTGAGCGTCTCTCAGGTAAGGCAAGACACACTGGGTGGTTCCCCTTGGTGCCTGAATGAGGATGGTGAGGGCCAAGTGTGTAGGAGATGGCAAATGTGTGAGAAAGTCTGCATTTCTGAGATTCCCTCATCCTGAGCATAGCAGATAACAGCCTAGATACATATCCTCCTGCTGGATACCAAGAAGCCGGTTCCTCCCCTATCTGCTGAACATTATGTCCCCCAGGAGCCTTGTTGTGAAGGAGCCTGTGCTTAGTGTTCAGCCATCACTGGCACCAACCAGTGCTGTGGTGCAGATGCCACGCACAATCCACTGCTCGGCAAAAGCACTTCCAGCCTCAGCTTCTTCACTGCAGGGCTGGCCCAGAACCGCCAGATTAGCACACAGAACAGTAGCAGTGAAGGAAATAACAGGGGATTAAGGGCAGTTGTGGTGAAAGCCTAAGAATTGGAGAGGAGATGTCTTAGGACCTCACACTACATCCCCAGATGAACAGCCTGGCAATGCCCAGTGTTCTCTGCATTGCTCACTCAGAGCCCTGGGCTCATATCTGTAGCAGCAGACCATGGCAGTCTGGGAAAGAGTCTGTGCATTGCTATTGTATGTGTCAAGGAGGCTGGAACAGGAGGGATGCCAATACCTGCACTGGCTGCCAATACCCTGACTGTTCCCTGTGGGTCTCCTGAGAAGCTTCCTGTGGAGTAAGGTGGGTGTTACGTACTCTAGATAATGGTGGGTTTAGGACAACAAAGATTCTCAGAGACTGAGCATTCCCCAGGGCGTTCCTCATCTCACACCCTGAGTAAAGACTTGGAAACCCCAGGGGTAGAGCTCATGGCAGGAACAAACAAGTTCACCAGTGTCTGAGGCAGCAGTCAATGCTTGCTCCAGGAATCTCTTCTCCTGCCCTCCCTGGTCTCTAGTGAGTGATGTCTTTCTCCTACAGGTGGTCCACAAGGCTGTGCTGGACGTGGCTGAGAAAGGCACAGAAGCAGCGGCAGCCACGGGAGTGAAATTCGTTTTAATGTGTGGAAGAATGAACCACTTTATTTTGCGTTTAAACAGACCATTTTTGATGATAATCCTTGACACAAATACTCAAGTTGCCCTCTTTTTGGCCAAGATCATGAATCCCAAGTGAGACTTCCCAAATCGTGCTGCTTCCTTCTAGGAGCCAGGGATTAAGCCTGTATGTGGGTCTCTGTGCATTTTGGCCTCCATGCTCTGATTGGCTGTGTGTGCCTGGATTGGACAGTGACAGTGACTAACTGTATGATCTGACCATGCAAAGGGGCCTTTGGACAGACAGTGTAACGTTCCCGTCCTCTTGGTAGCACCAGCTCATGCTCCTGAGTCTGAACCTTGTCTTTGTGGCCCCTCCCAGCTGTCTCTCCTCTATGTGCCTCTGTCCAAAGCTTGGGTCCTGGCAGGGAGACTCAGTTCCTATCTAGGCTCTGGTTATGTCTGTCTTCATGTTCCTCAGCCTTCATGGGACTATGCACACTTAGAGGCCAGCCATGTTGACCTCAGGCCCTGGACTGAGAAGAGAACATGCTGCCCTGAGTTTATTTCCAGAATCTGGGAACACTTGCTACCAATCTCACAATTATCCTCTTCCAGGCTCTGCCATCCCCTGTCATGTCAGGGGCTCCTGGCTCTGCCCATATCTGACACTGTGTTACAGCACCTATTCCCACAGCTGGATGCGGTCAGTTGGTCCCCTCAACTCCTTACCTCTAGTGTACCTACTTAGGGAAGAGGAGCCATTTTCTATGTTCCCCACTGACCAACCTCACACCGCAGATGGACGCCTCTACCTTCTTTGCTCAAAACACAGCATTTGGAGCAAATGATCAATAAACATATATCTGGACGGAAAGTGATCTGGCAGTGTTCACTCAGCTCCTGCAGGCAGGGGTGTGGCCTCCAGTGACAACAGGGTAGGAGAGGTTGTCACTCACATTGTGTGACTTGTGTGATGAACCTCTGACCTACATGCTTATTGCACCTCAAAGGGCTTGTGGTAAAGGCCTAGGAACAAGACCAAATGCCCCCTTGTTAAAATCAGATTTGTACAAAACTAAAAATTACATGAACACCCTTTCACCTATCAGCAGATTCATTCATTTTCAACACACGGCGCATGTGTATGTATATACATATGCATTCATACACAGTTATATGTCTATGTACAGAGAGAGAAACTTCACTTTATCTTTCCCACTTTGGAATGTTTTGAAGTAAATTCTACAATTCTTATTTCAATAAACATATATCTGCACAGAAAATAGACAGGCAATGCTCACTCAGCTTCTTTAGGCAGGGGTGTGGCTTCCAGTGACAACAGGGTAGGAGAGATTGTCACTCACATTGTGTGACTTGTATGATGAACCTCTGACCTACATGGTAATAGCTGTCCCTTTTATGGATGAGAAAACTGAGGCACAGAGAGGCTTAGTCATTTTCCCATAACATCACAGCTCCAATTTATGACTGGCAGGATGTTCTCCCAAGAGTCCTGATGCCAGAGGAACAGTCTTCCCCAAGCTGATATTCTTAGCCCAAGGCAGCACCACGGTGGTGAGCAGGTGGAACATGAAACAAGGCTATGGATGCTTCCCAGAGAGCTCCCAACGATCATGTGACCTCTGTGCTGAGGTTAGAGGAGGGTGAGAAGGTGGTCAAATGACCAGAAAAATGCTCTTGGGAGGGGACACGGCAATGGAGGTATTCTAAGAATAATTGGGTGTTTAGGAAAGAAAAAAATAATCACCAGATGGCAAAGAGCCTGACCCTAGGAGAATCCTCAAATGACTCAGAATGACAGGGAGCTCTGGAGGGGTGAATCATGGTTCCTGTCCTGGGATCCTCAAACCGCTCTGGGCAATGTGGTGACCAACATTGAGGGCAGCTGCAGGGATCAGGAGGCCACATCTGGAGAGAAAATTGGGTGATTTCAGCTCAAGGATGAACTGGTTTCGTGCCTAGATAGAGGACAAGAAGAGGCCAAGGTTCATTTGAGTTAGGGTGCTGAGTGTCCACTGAGACTCCATCAGTCATGAAGCACTGCTAGAGGTCTGCAGAGAAAGAGAAATTGGTATGTTCAGTTTTAGACATGCTTGAGTCTCGAGGCTCCTGAGACACACACTGAACAGGTGGACATGTGGATGCAGACAATTACAGCCAGGGAGTCTCACACAAGATTCCCTTGCCAAATGTCAGGACTCAAGTAGTTGTTCAGTCCACAAGCCTAGAAGTCTCACCTGGTCTCAGTATGTGCTGGAATCTTTTATTTATTTATTTATTTATTTATTTATTTATAAAAATTTCCACTTCCTGCCCTCCTCCCAATAACCTCCCACTCCCCCCACTCCCTCTCCTGCTCCCTCTCCAGTCCTAAGAGCAGTCAGGGTTTCCTGCCCTGTGGGAAGTTCAAGTTCCACCCCCCTCCCTCCAGGTCTAGGAAGGTGAGCATCCAAACAGACTAGGATCCCAAAAAGCCAGTACATGCAGACGAAACAAGACCCAGTGCCATTATCAATGGCTTCTCAGTCAGCCCCCATGTCAGCCACATTCAGAGAATCCGGTTTGATCACATGCTCGTTCAGTCCCAGTCCAGCTGGCCTTGGTGAGCTCTCATTAGATCAGTCCCCTTGTATCAGTGGGTGAATGCACCCCTCGCGGTCCTGATTTCCTTTTTCATGTTCTCCCTCCTTATGCTCCTCATTTGAACCTTGGGAGTTAAGTACAGTGTTCCAATGTGGGTCTCTGTCTCTATCTCCATTCATTGCCAGATGAAGGTTCTATGGTGATATGCAAAATATTCATCAGTATGGTTATGGGCCAATGCCAGTTCAGGCACCCTCTCCTCTGCTGCCCAGGGAACAATATGGGGACCTCTCCTTGGACCTGGGAACCCCTCTAGAATGAAGTCTCTTGCAAACCCAAAAATGGCTCCCTTAGTTGAGATATATATTTCCCTGCTCCCATATCCATCCTTCCTCCCTCCCTCATCTCGTTCCCCAAAACTATCCCCAATCCTCCCCTTCTCCCTTCTGTCTAACCATCTCCCCTTATACCCCACCCTGTGCATCCAAGTTTGCCTGGCAGTCTTGTCTACTTCCAATATCCAGGAGGATAACTTTATGATTTTCTTTAGGTTCACCTTCTTATTTAGCTTCTCTTGAATCATGAATTATAGGCTCAAAGACCTTTAATTATGGCTAGAATCCACTTATGAGTGAGTACATACCATATTCCACTTTTTGGGTCTGGGTTACCTCACTCAGTAAAGCGTTTTCTATTTCCATCCATTTGAATGCAAAATTCAAGATGTCATTGTTTTTTACCATTGAGTAAAGCTCTAATGTGTATATGTTCCACACCTTCTTTAACCATTCTTCTATTGAGGGGCACCTAGGTTGTTTCCAGGTTCTGGCTATTACAAATAGTGCTGCTGTGAACATAGTTGAACAAATGCTTTTGTAGTATGATAGGGCATCTCTTGGGTATATTCCCAAGAGTGAAATTGCTGGGTCCTGAGGGGGGTTGACTCCCAGTTTCCTGAGAAACCGCCACACTGATTTCCACAGTGGCTGCACAAGTTTGCATTCCCACCAACAATGGATGAGTGTTCCCCTCACTCCACATCCTCTCCAGTATAGGCTATCATTGGTGTTTTTGAGTTTAGCTATTCTGATAGGTGAACGATGGTAACTCAAAGTTGTTTTGATTCGCATTTTCCTGAATGCTAAGCAGGTTGAGCATGACCTTAAGTGTCTTTTGACCATTCGAAATTCTTGAAGAAGGAGCTCCAATGCCAGTGAAGGAGTGAACTTGCCAGTGAGAGTGAGAGCAGCAGGTGAAGGAGCAGGCTTCCCTCCATGTCCTCTACATAGGCCGCCAGCAGAATGTGTGGCCCAGATTAAAGTGGGTCTTCCCAGCTCATAAGATCCACATTAAAGTATCTCCTCCTGCTTCAAATAATTTAATTAAGAAATGTAACATGAGGTGCGGCTTGTTGGGGTTTTTGTCCTACCCGGTACCCCACAGCTAGCATACCCCAAGGAAAATAACACACAGGACTCCATAAGATTATAAACTGATTGGCCTATTAGGTCAGGCTACTTATTAGTTCTTATAACTTATGTTACCCAATTATCCTTATCTACGTTAGCCACATGGCTCAGCACCTTTTCCAGCGGGGCAGCTTAAATCTTTCCTCTCCGGTGGTCTGGGCAGAACTGCAGAGGAAGCTTTCTGCTTTCCAGAATACTCCCAGTCTCTTTGCTCCACCTCTACTTCCTGTCTGGCTTTCCCGCCTATACTGCCTGCCTGGCCAATCAGCGTTTTATTAAAATATGATTGACAGAATACAGACAATTCTCCCACACCATTTCCCTCTTTTTTTTTAAACAAAGGAAAATACCCATAGTCCATTTGTTGGAAATGTGGGAGTGGTATTTCAGGCTACTTCCTACTGGTTGGGGGCGCTGATGATCTTATGGGGACCTAAAGAAAATTTAGAGTTATGATCAAGTCCTGACTGGAGTATCCTGTGAGTCTTGATCATCTCAGTCAGCAGTCTTGTATCTGTTCTGGATGTAGAATTCAGACATCTGAGCCATCTGTTTCTACCGGAGATTTTTCAGGTGGGCTTCCTTGATCAAAGGTGATTTTTCTTAACTCTGAATAAATCCACAGCCTCTCATTTTCTGTGGAAACAAAATCAAAATCTCTTCTCCAAAGTAACATACCTTTTGACTTCAGTTTTGAAGCCAAGGTATTTTCAAAATACCTATCTTGGGTTAGTTCAACAGCATTTATAAACAAATGTCTTTTGGCGATTGTTGCTCCTTCCTCAGCATTCAAACAATTTAAAAAGAGCACAATAATATACAGTATCAAGATTCTCTGTGTATTTTCCATCTTTATGCGGCTTTATTTTAACCTCTATTTCTTTTATTTTTATTTTTACTTTTTGAGACAGATTCTCTGTATATCTTTGTCCTCGTATAACTCTGTAGACCAGGCTGTCCTTGAACTCACAGAGGTCTGTCTGTCTCTGCCTCCCCTGTGCTGGTATTAAAGGTGTGTGCTACCACAACTTAAAGTCACAGAGGTCAATGTACCTCTGCCTCCCAGGCATTGGGATTAAAGGTGTGTACCACCACACCCAACTACTCTATTTCTTTCCTTTTAACTTTAAGAACTTTAACTTTTAGCCTGCATATATTTTTAACCCACTGTAAACCATTTAGAGGTTTTCTTCAACTTTGAATCTCTCTTTACTGTATATCTCTCTTTCTGACTACATGAGTCTTTTTGGAGAGGATTAAAGCCATGACTTTGATGGCTGGATCCAGCCCATTCCTTAGCTTTCCAGCCTCATGGCAGAGGTACCGCTGGAGCCATTTTTATTACCACAACTCTGTGGCGAATCAAGGTTCCTGCCAGCAAGCAAGCTGCATCATTCTGCTCACAGACCACACTCAGTCAGACTGCCTGCCTGAAAGAGTCAGAGTTTGCCCTGG